TAAGAGGAACAGTTTACCTGGTCACATGCGAAGGATGCGGTCAAAGATACGTGGGTGAGACCATGAGACCACTACACAAGCGGATGGATGAACACGTGCGAGCTTTACGCAATCCCGCTTCTTATCCAAAGAGCGGTTTCTCGCGGCACCGTGTTCTACATCACCAGAATGAAGCAGCTCCCGCTCTAAGAGTTTCTGTGATACACCGCACGAAAGAAGCCCCATTGGAAAGAAAATTGCTCGAAGCAATCGCTATCAAGCGGCTATCCCCCGAGATCAACAACAGGGACGAGCTCATGGAAGCAATGAGGCTAATAGGGTAGCGGTAGTGATAAAGAAGTACTGGCAAATGTCACGCGCGTCGCATTTCTAGTAGCTTTTAGTTGCGTTGGCAGTTGCACTGGGGTAAGCCGTACATCCCTTGTAGTTGGACTGTTAACAGTTGCACCTTAACCATTGTTTTATACATTGTATTACAGAATCTAACTAAATCACCGTTGACGGGCAGGTCAACCTGGTTTGTACTTCCACCAACTTTACTGCTTAATACGCTTTGTGTACTTGATTTTATATTAAGGTCTGAGGAAGCTGTTAACACAGCGAAAGCTCACCAATAAAAGTGTTTGTGAACGAGTTCTCATTGGCAATTCCGAAGAAAATCGTATGACACATGAGGCTCAGGGATAGCTCAATTTTATCACATGGATGGAGTTGAGATCCGTGGCCAGAGTCTCAAATACCAGAAGCATGTGAAACTGGATAAGGACTCAATGAACCCATAATGGTAAGAACAAGATAGAGATCACTCACTCATCCGGGTCTCCTAAGAAGTCTCCAACTACAGTTTTGTCCAGACGATCCTCCTTCAACAGGAAATCTGCAATCTCATTCGGTTCGGTGCCAACGAAACCATGCTCTTGTAAGAACGAAAGTCCCTGCTTTGGTTTCCGGGAAAACCTAAACATGTGAATTCCAAGAATAAATCAGCCTCGGCTACAGCTGTATGAAACCATCGAAAATAAACAATTGATGAACACACAGCATGATTCCATGTTCCATCAATTCCTTCTTCTGTTTGAGGTGGACAAATCTGTGCACGGTAGGAGACGCAGGCAGCTCAGCATCAGTATCCTCACTTTCTGCTTCTGCAATGTTCAGTGAACCCATGCACTTATTATATTTATTAGGTTGTTCGAAAAGTCCTGCGACACTTTGACCAATTTTTCGGACTAAATTTTCAGTCACTAAAAGACATCTCCAATCTACGTCGTAATCATCCTTAAGGACTAACAAAATGGACTTGTTCTGTCCCCCATTGGTAAGGGCACATGTTACTAGGTGTAGTTTTTTTTTCCAGGCAAAAAAATCGGACACATTCTTGAGAGGTTCAGGCAAGCGCCTTGCAAATCCTCAGCATCAGTGGTGCGGACTTGTATGTGAACTGGACTGTGATTTAAACCGCACACATGTGTTCGAAAATCTTAGTCGATATGTGGAATCTCCAAAACTGCCAGGACACATTCTATTCAACGGAAAATTCTCCGATAATCCAGAAAGAGCGGTGAGTGTTTGTTTTTTGAGGGGTACCTTTTTAGTCAGATGTCCGTTAGATGCATTCGTATAATGTTCGCATTTTAAGGGAACGTGCAATGCGATTGCTCGGACTGAGCTGTTTGACGGACCTTCTGCAATGCCTCGTAGATTGGTTTGATGTGTGTGAATGAGCAACAAGATACATCTTTTTAGCGAGAACTGCAAGGTAAATGATGGCTTCATGCCTGAAGGAACTTTTCCGTCATAAGGTACGCTCAGGACTTTGCGACAACAGCGCTTCGCTCGCGTGTTCCACGCGATCGATCAGTCAAAAGGTTGCGCATCGATTGTGCCGAACGCGCGACCGAAGCGGTGCCGTTTGCGAATTCTAAGCGCAGCCTTACGTTCGTAAAAGCTGACGCTTTTCCTAAAGCGCAACAGTGGTTTCGTTTGCTTCTGTTTGCCGTAAAACATTGTATTAGGTTGTTCGAAAAGTCCTGCGACACTTTGTTTGAACTATTCTAGAAAAAGACCAAAAATCATTTTGAATGTTTTTATCTCTGATTAGTGGAGACTGTCTCCTGGGGTTTCTGCAAATGGGTATATCACGACTTTGTGGAAGTTTTCAAAGCTAACGTCCCCTCAGAATCGAGGTACTTCTCGACCTATCCCATATTATGAGTTCCTGTAGGGCAACTCCGCCATAGTCGAGGAAGCTAACACTTACGTTGTCTTGAGGAAGGATATCGCTTGCCATAGCAGAGAGTTCCTTTTGCATCAGCGCTTCCAGGCTGGACTTATTCAACTCGGAAGTAGGCAATGTATAGGTCGGCCACCAGCACAGAATGACGGCCCTTTACTCAAGCTTCTTGAGGCGCAGCCGAAGTAACTACCAGTAAGTATGGCAAACCTCTCTAGGCTCTCACCTAGAACTGACAAACTGCCATGTTCTCGTCGATCGCTCGAAGTTAACGGAAAAAAATTTTTATGTGAAGGATAGCACCTCAATGAGTTGGACCGAATCTGACAAGTCATACGACATGGACCGTGGACTGAGTTTTTTTTCTTTGTACACACTGAAGGCAAACATTTGTTTGAAGTTCTATGTGGCTTGGGAGAGAGTGTGAGGTCCTTGCGTAATCATTGCAATGATTACCTCGCAGGGGATCTGGTCACAAACAGAAAAGTAGATTGCAACAGCCGAAAAGAGAATATGGTGACCTGGGATAAGATTTCAGTAGGTTATTATGGGGCTCAAAGCGGTATCTCTGGATACTAGCATAACGGTAAGGACTACAGTCCACTCTAACCAACCTCACAACATGGATGACGTCACGCTTGAATTCTTCAAAAATACTCAATTTTTCTCTACCGCTCGGCAATGCGAAGACCGCATGTTAGGATCAGGCCACACCAAAAGATCGTGGATCTTGATCTGAGAATGCGACCATACCCAGCTTATTCATCAAAGTTAGCAGTCTCTAATTACCACCTCCTTTGATCCCTACCTCTCTCTTTAGAAAGCAAAAATTCCGAAAATCGACGTCTCCTCGAAAATGAGGTCCACCGCTTCTTTTTATCATAGTTGCCGTAGTTCTGTGAGAATGGAAATGAGAAGCTGTGCAAAAGAAGGGCACTAG